AATTGTTCATGATTCATTAAACCTTTATCATAAACTAGTCAACATTCAATGTAGAACATGTTGAAGGAGCTGAAAACTGTTCAATTATCAGAAATTTACAGCCATTTTAACAAGACTTTATATAGAAAAGAAATCATTCCCAGCCATGATTTCCATAAATGAGTAATCACTAACAGGCCTTAAGCGATAAAAACCTTCCACAATAAATGCAATTTTCCAACCATTTTTCTGCCAGCGATTAATCAAATTGACCATGTCTTAAAAAGGAAATAAACACAATCAGTGCCTATGACTCAAATGTTTAAAAACAAGAGGGTACTGATCCCTTTGGTATTGTTTATGGTAGGAAAAAAAGCAACACACATATTTAGTATTTGTAATGTTAACATCAAAAATATCAAAGCAATGAAATCCATCATTGTTTAGACGTGTCCAACAAAGATTTTTTCTTTTTCAATTCTTGGTTGTTTTATTTGTTTACTTATGTTTCATTTTTAACTCAGTGTTTTTTTTTCACTTTTGGGGGAAGGGGGTCGGTGCCCTTAGGAGGAAATATGCAAAAGGAGGTGGAATTTTATTTGTTTACTCATTTTATATTGTTTTCTTTGCAGTGGAAAAGGGGAGCAACTCTTGCAACAAAAGTTTAAAATACATCTCTTTTTCTTAATATACGGATCTAAAATATCAATGTGTCGCATGTTAAACTTGTTGGGATGCCGGGAGTAGCTCCCCTTACCTACCAGAGAAAGATTTGTAAACGACCTTGCTTAACAGTAACTCTTACAGGCATTAAATAAAACATTTTTCAGCAGTTAGTTACAAAAAAAAAATATTTATTGCAGGCAAATTCGGGCTGCCAGAAAGGGGGAAATTTAGGCTTTGAGGGGGGGGGGGGGAAACATACTATTTTTAGGGGGGAATGGGGCCGAATTTCGCCATATATTTTGGTGAAAAAAAAAACACTGTAACTATATACGATGTTTCTTGACAGAGTCATGGCGCTTGTCTGTAAGTGGGATTAATGGTCACTAACAAGTATTGAAAGTTTCAAAGCAATATCTCAAAAAAATTAAGAAATACAAGAGATGGTAATAAAATAATAGCTAAAAATGTGACCAAGATGCAGATGCTAACTTCAAAGAACTGTTAAGTAGGAAAGTTCTCTAAGAAGAATAACACAGTAAAAATCCATGCTAGAATTACTGGTCTTTGACAATATATTCCGATTATATTACAATGTATATCTAACAGCCTAAAATTATCAAATAACATTAGTAAACACCTTTCCCTTTTCTTCAACAAAAAATACAATGTATATACATGTCCCAAGTTAACTTAAATCAAAATTGTAGGCTATCTTCAATACAAAAGTTTAAAACTTACGCCACTTATAATGTAAATATTTGCAACCGAGTCTTCACTTTTAAAAATATACAAGTCTAAAATTACTTTATGTATTTTAAAAAATTAAAATTTAAGTGATGTAATTTATTACTCTATAAGGGATTAATCTATTTATAAAATATGATCAAATCATTCAATTTGAAACCTGCCTTGACGGTCCATTAACTAAGTAATTTACGGGTCATAATCGTTCAATTTAAAATGTAAACAAAGACTCATAAAACTGCCCCCATAATTTTAAACACTACAAGGTTCATTAAAATTTAAACAGATTCAATTGTTTTGTCGCAAAGATTGTGACAGCCCAGAAGGATTAAGAAATTTATGATTGTTAACGTATGTGGGCATCTTACGCCGTAGAAGCTGCATTTGTGTTGCATTCCCGATGCAGTTGTTGTAATTGCATCTTGTAAACCAAAATTTGCGGTTTCTACACTCACTAATTTTAAATTGTTTGAACCGTTACACAAGACCATCATTAATTTATTTAATTACCTCAAACTTCACAAACATTTTTTTTTTTACTAGTTTTAAACAATCTCATATTAATGGTTCTTCAGTTGCAATTTAGACATGTAAAGGAGGACAAAATATTGCTACTGTACTAATAAATTCATTGAAGTTAAAACTTAAATATCTTAAAATATTAATAATATACAGTAAGTAGTAGTGCTTAATCCAACAATTCAAGGAGACAATTACAGTTCATAATATATATTATAAATAATTGATTTTGACTGATTTTATAAAACTTCTAAAATGAAATTTCAAATATTTTTCAAAACCCTAAGGTCAAAGGGCCAAGACCTTATACATGGAGCATACTTTGACATAAATAGCTTAAGTAAAAAGAGATTAATACACTGCAGAGTAGGGCCAGAAGGTGATTATCGGCCTGCAAAATGAATAATTGCCCTGATTTCTTTAATATTTCTGCCGTTTAAAATTTTTGTCACTTTAGATTTCTACTGTACAGTACCTTCTACAGAATTGCTTCCCTTATCATGCATAAAATTAAGCGATTCATGCTTAGAATCTACTTTCATTTTTACAGCTAGTTGCTTTAATGACGTAAAAAGTGCATCATTGTTTCAGTTTCTGCAATTACTCGTGCATAGTGGGCCGATTATGATTATAAGTTTCTTGCCTGATGTCACAAACTCATAATCGGTCAGACGACACTCATAATCAGTTGAAATCATAGGCAAGTATGTTACTATATATGGTAACAAGTGTATTAATAATATATTTTCGAATTTTAATTATTTTTCTCTCAAACTTATTAAAATTTCAACCATCTGATTGTATCAAACATACTTCTGCAGAGCAGATAGTTAATCTCTTCAAAATCAGGTCACATGACTAACATATCCATACAACGAAGACCCGTCTTTAACTTAAAAAAAATGGATTTTTGAGACCGCTGCCTTACCAGATTAAGTCAGCTAGGTGACTGTATCACCAAAGTGTATACGAGAGTATGAAAGCTTTATAAGCCATCTCTCACAATTCAGCTGTCTAAACTGATGTAAACGTAATCCCCGCTCTCGAGCTATAGCTTTGATATGTTCGATACATCGGCTTGCCGAGATTAACAAACTTTATTTCACATTGACAGGTCAGTAATTACCATTATATCAGTGGGCCGGGTTCAAATCTCTAGCCATACGTCATAGAGAACAAATAACTACAAAGAGTGGCTCCGATGACAAGTTTAATACAAGAATTTAAATCAGTTTTCTTTGTCACATCATATTAAATGCGCACACGTTTTGATTCTATTATAAACATCATTCAATTAATTGCATATTAATTAAATCGAATAATTAAAATCTGCACCAGTTTTAAAGAATTTTAATCAGAAGTTTGACATCACATGGAAAAAGAGGTTATTAAATGTTTTCCACATGTCATCAATTTCAATCAAATATTAATAAAATATTTAAACAAACTTCACTCTAACCAATCTTTCATTAAATTCATAGATTTGTTCTTTGATGGTTTCTTATGATTATACAACAACAACAAAAAACCTTAATCAGCAGTCTGCAAAAATAATGGGTATTCAACGAACAATGCAAGTATTTGTTGATAATTATCTTAACATTAATTTTTTTGCAATCAATTACATAATATTCAAAGCAACTATCTTAAAATCTTAACAGTTATGTATTAGTTGAAATAAAATGATAAAAAATTATCTTTTCTCATCTTACCGCTAGACCTCCCATGATATTAAATCCAAGAGAACCAGTCACCCGTTCAAGTACCAGCGTTACACTTTGATCTGTGCCGCACTGAAAAGTACAAAAATATTATGAAACTACAAGGCAGATGTTGGAAGACCAGAATCGCTTAACTTTGTATGGAATAATTATCACAGAGTCTTTTAACACTTTTAAAAGAGCTGCCCTTTGTGTTTCTTTTGATCTTTAAAAGGATCAATAATCTCCCCTAGATTAGGGCGTTGGTAGAGAGTCACCAGTGAAGTAAACCATAAAGGTCATTAACATTTCTATATTCATAATATTACAAAACCTAGAATGTTTTTATGACCTTATTGGGCTTTAAAAGGTCACGGTACCAGCATAGAATTGTTGAGTCAACTCAAATAGATAAAATTCAGATTAATTTCTTTCTTTTAATTCTGGGCTTTTTTTGTCATTTTGCTACAGCAACGTTTTTTTCCCTTGCTTCGGAAATAATGTGCTGGTACCAAACAAATTGGGGAAAAATCCTTTTGGCTCAAAATGTCGATTTTACAGGACCATGCCAGTTACTTGGTTTATTATCGCATATCACTTATCAATATGGAAGCATCCATTACTGTTTTTGTTTATCTTTTAATTTACTGATTTTCAGGAAGGGAATTTTCAGTGTTTTTTGGGGAATTTAAGTCAGAAAATGGGAATACTGCTGTCTTTTTTTTTTTCAGAACTGTGCCGTTTTCTGGTATCATTTATATGAGGAAACGAGGAAAACACTGTACAGAGAGTATACTATAGATCAAAGTAAAGATGATAATGGTAAATTTTAAAACAAAGTCTTCTCATGTATCAAGCTACAATTAAAAATTTCATCGAGATTTTTATTATTTAAAATATACACAGAATAAACAAAGCAATCAAAAATTGCTGCATGGATAGTGATAGGTAAAGCAAATTATTAGAAGTTATTAACTTGCAAATGACTTAAAAAAAACATTTGAAGAATTGTATTTTGTCTAATAATTGAAGCAATTTTCTCTGTGTAAAACCTGCAGAGCAAAATATTTCTTGTTTTTCAAGGAAGCAAATTTCTGATTTCATAATTGCAAACATTTCATTCATATTTTTGTTGAATAATAAACATATTATTTTTAATTTTCATTCTGTCAGACTCTAGCAATATCATCCCCAGTAAAAAATTCAGTGGAATACCACCGGAATACCGCTGGTATTCCAGTGGATTTTCAGTGGAATACCAGCAGTAAAATTTGGTGGTATTCCACTAAAAGTTTACCGCTGGTATTTCAGTGGAATTCCACTGGAATACCAGCGGTAAACTTTTAGTGGAATACCACCAAATTTTACCGCTGGTATTTCAGTGGAATTCCACTGGAATACCAGTGGAATTCAACCAAATTTTACCGATGGTATTTCAGTGGAATTCCACTGAAATACCAGCGGTAAAATTTGGTGGTATTCCACTAAAAGTTTACCGCTGGTTTTCCAATGGAATTCCACTGAAATACCAGCGGTAAACTTTTGTGGTATTCCATTTAAAGTTTATCGCTGGTTTTCCAGTGGAATTCCACTGAAATACCAGCGGTAAATTTTGGTAGAATACTACCAAATACAGAGCCGGACGGACGGACAGTGCGATTTTAATATGCCCACCTTCGGGGGCATAAAAATCACTGGATATAGTAGTTGAAAATACAAAATCATTCCAAAGAGCAGATATAATAGCAAATATTTTATATACATTTGTTGGCTTTATATATATAATAGTAAGTATTGAGTCTCAACACATTTTTTTAGATGTAGAATATTTCCCTAAACTAAACAGTTATTTTGGTTATTCTCTTCTGCTTTGTTTTATAATATTTCCTTGTTAAAGATGCACTCTTACTCCCAAATAAGATTTCCTAAAGTTAATAATATTGTTTTAATAAAACACAAAAAGTGCAAGAACAGTTCAAGTACTACAGTTCATGAACAGTTCCTAAACTACATTTACATTATTTCACATTTATGAAAAATGCAAGAACAGAGCAGACAGATGATACCAATCAATTTGCGGACTGACAAGTCTAAACAATATGTACTCAACATAAGCTCTAAGCTATATTGTTCAAAAGTAAACCACAAACATGTAAAACTACATGTAAAATTTAAAAACTACACATCTTTGTTTAACAAGAACTAAGAAATAGTTTCTTCAATACAGCTTGCTGATTTTCAAAAGTGCAAAAACCAAGAACTTGAAATTAGTTTTTTTAGTTCCAATGTTTCACTTATTTTGTGATTTATTTCCTTCTGATGACCTTTTGTAAGTTCTCTAGTTTTTTATTAAATACTTCTTTTGATACACCGGTTTTCTTCCTCACTAGTCTTTAAAGATTGCTGAGTTTCAAGGGTTCAAGTGGTGGTCTCGGGGAATCCTTGCACTTATTGGTCATCTTTCCAGTCCTAGAGTGGGTTCTAAGTTCCTCCACAGTGAAGATAGTCTTTGCTAATGTAACCAAGACTTCTTGAGTATCACTTAGAATTTAGATGTTCCACAGCTTATAATTCGGGGTCCTCCACTTTTGTATTCTGACTCTCTAAAGCAGTAATTCGCTCCTCCATGCGTCGAATCTTTATACGCAGGCTTCTGCACTCATCCTCCCATCTAGTTTGGAAATACCAAAAAAACAACAACAACAATATAACGTCTAGTGTTTGAAATGACAGTTTTAAATATCACACAAATGCTCATTATGCTACGAAAAAATGCGTTTCCATAGTACCCTTCAAACCTATTTTTATACCCCAGTATCAGGGTAATCAGTTTTTCCTTAATATTTAAGAAGAAAAAGCTAAATATGCGAATTTTAATCCTCGTGAAATTAGACTGAATTCAGATTTTTGGGAATTTTTGCCATGAAAAAATATCTGGTTCTACTGTAGACAATTGTAAAATTGGGTCCTTGTAACCTCAACTATATTGCTTACCCGTCAGATCTAGGCTCAACCACACAACCCCTAGCAGTTCCTGCCTTTTCGATGAACTTTCACATTGGACACTTTCAGCAGGACCTATAATATTAATCACAATCAAGAAACTTCTAACATCATAAACAATTGACCAATATCTTTAAAATATCCTGATCGACAAGCCGTATCATTATAATTTTTTCAATTTGCATGTTCTAAGTAATGTTTTAATACTCAAAATATCTTGTTCAAGCATGTTCAACCACATCACATCCTGCCCCTTACTAATACAGTAACAGATTACCATGACCAGTGTAAATTTTAGAGAATTTAGTTAAATATATAGTAGAATAAATTGTAAACTGGAATACGGGCCAGTAAATTCAAAAATTAAAAAAATCTTAAATTCAATGCCTGAGAATTCAATTGTATTCAGGTCAGTGCTACAAGTATGACACTGTTTATGCTATTTATGTTCTTTGCAAATCATCATGTTGGATTTACTTTAATGGACCAGTATTCAGATTCTCTAGTATAAGCTTAGGCAGTGTCAAAGACAAGCTATTTTAGCTAGGCCGTATCCTGGACCACTGACCTATAAATTTTGGTGGCCCACACAACTGTTTAGTGGTCCAATAATTCCTATAAATGCACAGAAATCTAGAGATTAAATCCAACACACACCCAAAAAACAAAAAACAAAAAAAACAAACAGAAAACATGATTTCTGTGCCAATTAAATTTTTGGATTTAAAAATACAGTCAGTCATGTGCTATTTTCCTTGTTGATCATATTCCGTTATAAAACTACATAAATTAATGGTGATATAAAAATATTGTCTCTTTATGAAAAACTTTTTTTCTAATATAAGGGAAAATTGATAAGGTAGTTAACTGTCTGCATACTAGGGTGTTGAACTGTCTGGGGATAAAAAAAACTTGCTACCATGCATTTTTCAAAAAACTATTTTAAACTAGATTCTATCTTTTAGAAGGCATTAGCAAATAATTGCCTGCAGGGAAGCAGAACTGTCTTCAATCTTCAACGATGCTTTGTTTTTTATTCATTTTTTATCGATCCTTTTCAACAAAGAAATAAATAAAAACGGGTCGCGAAAATATGTGACAAATGTCCGTTTACGCAATATTTCCAGTAAGGTTCTAAGTATCTAAACTGTAACTAGGAATGAGCTGGAAATACAATTATTATTTCTATTGTTACAGTCGGCAAATTGTTACAAAATAATGCTTTTAGAAGTGAAGAAAGGTCATTAAAATAATTATAGACTCTTCATTTTTTTCTTGGAGGAGTCATAAACACGCCGGTTCAGTTTGGAAAAAAAATCAACTGGTCAGTCTGGTGCATTTATGATAATACTCACAGTGAATTTCACCGATTGCAGCTTTGAAGGTCTTCTTCTGATAATTTGCTTGAGCAATTTCACCTTCCTCGTTGTATATCTTTATTGGGGAGATGATATCATCAGTTCAACGAAGTTTTTGCCGTCTTTGAATATTGCGCGCTCAAAAGACCTGTGTACTACGCAATAAACCTGTGTACTACGTCAGTAACATGTGCTCGATTTTCATAATTTCGTGTAATTCCGTTGTTTTTGCCGTCAATACAATGACCATACATGCCATAATTTTTAGACTCATTTCCGGGACACTTTTCATTTGAAGGTGGGGCATTGATCAGCAAACGTATTTTTTTTTTTTTTTAATTTACATAGTGGCATACAACCTATAGGCCCTATAACCGGTAATTACAACTTGCAAATTTAATGACACCATAAACAAAGTCAGAATGTCAATAATTATTAACTGTTTTTCTATCTTTTTTAAGTATTTAGGCATCGTTAATTCAATCAGTCACAGAAAAGAATAAAGCTTTGTTAAGTAATGACAATTACCCACGTCGTTTACCTGAAACATTCACTGAATCTTGTAGATTTTATCACCTCATATTTAGCGGTAATTTTCACGGTGTTTGACCACTAATAAATGTCTCCAGGCAGATTAAATTTATACTGTCCAGTTGGCCAGTGTATGACACCTTCACTCAGGAAGCCACAAGGGGTAATTAATCTTTTAATTAATCAAAATTATTGCCGATAATTGTTTGTTGGAAGGGGCACGTAGATATACCAATCAAAGGATTAGTGTCACCATTGCAATGCTGTTAGGGGATAATCGTTCGTTATTAGCGTTCTTGACAATAAAATTATATAAAAAAGTAAAATTTCTTGCTTCAAAGTAGATTATTTTAGATTTTTTTTTACCGGGACATAAATCATCTCCGGGACAGACACCTTATTTCAGGGATTGTCCATGGCATGTATGACAATGACTGAATAATTTTGATTATTTCACTATTTCACAGGGGCGATATACTGGTTTAAACCATGACTGTCTAATCATCCAGTAAATTTATACTATGATTGTATTTCTATCATATAATTGAAACATTAATTTATATTATTCAATTGTTTTTAACTGTGAATAAATAATTCAATTACTTAATTGTAATGACTATATTGATTATGATGTTTACCCTAGAATTCTATTTTTGACCTCAGATTACCAACATGTATACACACAAATATGATCAGAGACAATTTTGATGGAACCTTTTTTTCATGTCGTAATTGTACATACCAATGGTAAAAATTAGTCCACTGGAAGTGTCCTTATTAAATTGTATATATATTATAAAGTCACCAAGTTCACTGGAAATCCAGTGGTTTACACTGGAAATCCAGTGGTTTACAACTGAAATAAATTTGACCAGTGGCATACCACTACTCAATATAGGTTACCAGTGAAAAACCAGTGGAATACCAGTGGAATTATAATAACCACTGAAATGCAGTGTTATTCCACTGGTATTATGTAGTATTCCAGTGGAATACCAGTGGATTTATGGTTACCACTGGAATACAGTGGTATTCCACTGACATTTTTACTGGGGATATTTCCAATTCAAACATAGGCTTTCTTCAATCAAATGTGCATAATTTATATGAAACATTTGTTTCACAGCATGCAAGATTTATTGCAAATTTCACACAGCTTTAAGCATTTCTTTGTGAAATCTCTTCAGGACAAAATTGTTATAATCTTTTCCCTAAACCCATGTTCATTGTAAAATAATTTTAGCTTGTCATTTTTATATCACTTAATTCCCTGTGCTTAATACTGTCTATCAAAGACTTAACAAATAAAAATCAAGGCCCTAAGTTAATTAATAAATAGGGTATTATTTTAATCCTTGGAGTAATCATTCTCTTTGAAGGCTAGCAAGAGAATAAACAAGATAATTAGATGCACAGTCAAAATCAAGGCTACTCAAGGCTACTGGTTTCACCCACTTTGACATATAAAACCACTGGTGTCTTTAGCCGTCAATTCAAGGATGGCAGACAATTTACCAAATAAGGATTCAATTATGACCACAGACAATTATATTCATCCAGTTTGTTCTTTCAAAAGAAAAGAACAAAGCAAAGAAAGATTGAGCTGCTTATCCATTCATTGCCAAAGGGTCATAAATGTCAGATTAGCCATGGAATATGCAGATTTAGAGATGTGTGTTTATTTATAAGGAATAAATAATAACTGAAATCAATTATATAGAAGAATACATGTATGTTTAAAGATAGGATGCAACATTTTGGTATAAGAATCTAGGCCTATTTAAAAAACACTTCTAAATGCAGGGCTTTTTTTCCTTCTATAGCAGGGGCCGGTATAGGGCTGCTTCCCCAAAGAAAAATTCTTTAAAATCATGCAGTTTTCCCCAAAAATTGAATTTACATCAAGTTTTTCTTCCCCTTTTGCAAATGTACTGTGAAATCTTTCTCCAAAATAAAGGGAAGAGCTGCTTCCCCAACCTGTGAAAAAAAGCCCTGAAATTGGTTAATGCAGTATTGAGTAATGCACCAACAAATGTAACCTTGCCCACTAATGCAGGGTTCAAGATAATGATTTTGAAGCAATTAGTTTTTACACTTCATCTAGGCATTTGACTAGTATTTTAACATCTGACAGTCCCTGCAGGGCAAAAACTTATTCCAAATTCCAAAGTCTGCTAGTGCTTTTTTCAGGCTGAGGTATAATCCCCCCCATTTCTGAGAAAAATCCCCTCCACTAGATTATATTTAGTTTAAAATAAGAGCAATCTGATGATAGCAAATTACATGTTGCAGTTACTGTGTTGCAGGGTACACAAAAATCATTAACATGCCAAAATTGAGTTTTGCCAAAATTGAGTTTTTATTCAAGGGTCACAACTCAGCCAAAATCATTCAACTGGAAAACATGTTTAATATGCCCAAGTACTCGAGGTACCATCAATCCTATAAAATGTTGGTGAACTTGCATTAATTAGTACTAATAGAGAAGTAGTCCTGACAAAACATTGAGAAATAAAAAATATTAAAGGCACAATAGTCATTACTCTTGACAAAAATCATTGAACCATTGAATGCTGACGATATGCAAATCTACTGATCATTCCTGCAAAGCTTCGAAATTTCACCAGTAGTTTCCGAGTAGTCCGGACAAGTTTTGTGACGTACAGACAGGCGAAATAAAAAATAAGAATGGAATGAAATGATAATCTTATTATATTTATGCTTCATAAATGATACAGTAAATTTGTTCAAAGTATTAAAAACTTTACACTTTTATGACTCTTTGCTTCAAGGTTTGGAATGGAATGGTATACTTTGTAGCTAACTCAAAATGGAGGTCGTCTGCCTCATCGTGCACGTGTGCATGACTAATTTGATTACAAATGGTGTTTAACCTTAAGGGGAGACAATCGTAAATTTCTTATATTTTACGCGGTGTTAAAGTTATTAACGAACTACTCTTTAGGTAGGATACTACTTTCACACGAGACGTTGTTTATTAGATATCTATGTTCTTACAGCGATAAAAAAAGATCAAAAGAATTAATAAGAAATGACACGCTCTTAAATAAGGAAAGTATTTAATGTTAAGCCATGTTTTATTCGTATCCACTGAGAGGGAATACACATTCCAATTGTTTGCAAAACCACCCTCGACTATACTTGGACATTAAAGAGATCAAAGACAATTTTTACATAAACATCTTCATAAAGACAAATGATTTTTCGATAAATAACACTCAGTTTTCACCAGGAATTAGCTTTAGCCTCCACAAAGATTATATACAATGTATAGGGCAGGGCGTATTCACTTTTGCTCTTGTTTCCCCTTGTATTGTTTTTGTTTTTTGTTTTTTTGTTTTTTTTTATTTTTCGTTTTGTTCACATTTCTTAAAGGCTTCGATGCACATTATGTCGACTCGATGGCTTATGTAGAAAAAAGTTCGATTTGTATTTATTGATAAGATTATCTTTGCAATACTGTTATGTCACTTTTGAATTCTTCCGTAATTCATAATAGGCAGACGATAATGTATATTTACTTCCGATGACTAACAACCACATTTTCCATGTGTTCGAAGAATTATGTATTATAAACCGGTCATTATACTCAAATTTCTCATTGATAAAGTTGTACAATATAATAGTAAATACAAATAGTAACTGTGGGCATGCAGATTCAAATTAAACTACAGTAATCAATTAATTCCATGAAATGTTACAAGCGCTTTGATCTTGCTTTAATGTTAAAATGTTGCCGATGACACCCGGATAAACTTTGAATAAAGATTACATTAAGATAAACTTTGGTATCTTATGATTATTTTTGAAGAGACATAATAGTTGACAGAATATCAATTCTTACCGCACGTGCTCCTGTGCATTCTGAACGTTGTTCTCGTGTTAAGTTATTAACGGCCTATTCATTGAAATGCATTAACGCATGATTTGGTTAAGAAACATAATTTGATTGTTTAAACGTTTTTTTATTCAAAATAACATTTTTCCGCCCTAGAGAGTATGCAATCTGGGCACAAACCGTTCTCAAAACATGCACATTAATTTAAGTTTCATTTTCCCCTCGGTAATTTCTTTTATACACTACAATGTAACATGTAGTTACATTTGTACCTGTATCCGTGCAGTATGACCATGATCTGCACTGATTGCTTTCAGTCAGAACTTATTAGGAAAAATTCCCCCAAAAATGACGAATAGTTTTGTCCAGATTAAAAGAGTAGATATTTAGCGTGTTAAGAGCTTTGCAAAGAGCAATAACAACTTCCTACTTGGATTAATTTTAATGTTACACAAAAAACATGTATATGAAAATATAAATAAAGAGCAGGCATATCTGTTAGTGATATATCTAGGTAAAATGATGAATGAAAACGAAATGTTTGCATATACCACCCTGTGTGTGCCACACCGAATATCACAGGGCCATAGGTTGGCCCATTTATCAAAATAATCATCGAAACTTTCTTTTGCAAGTATCAGCTAATGTGAGAACTCCATTCATATGGTGCACTTTATCTTGACGGTGAAAGTGATATAGAGCCCCAGCTTTAAGCACATAAAACATGCCTTGTTTCTCGTATTTTGTAATAAATCACCAGTTTTTATCAAACCTACAATAACCGAGGGTGAGCAATAACACGTCATAAAGCCCAATCTGGCTCCTTTCTAAATATCCTAAATGTTCTATCTTTATCCACACATCAGTCTAACCATTTAAACAACATTCTCTCAGGTCAGATTCGACGTGGGGGTTTTTCTGAATGAAAAATATACGAACAATTTTCTCTGTCACGCGATCGAGGGCAAAGTGATATAAAATGAAGTACTTGTGTTCAAATACATATGGTATTATTTAATGTTTGATTATAGATCCGTATTGCATGCAAAAATAAATTTGAACATTTTCACAATGCATCTTTAACCTTGTAAAGTAGAATTCCAACAATATTTAAAATATGCATAAAAATTAACTTCGTGAGAGGAAATGTAACAATCTGGCGTAAACAATTAAATGCCTTTCTTCTATTTGATCATTATATTTTAAACCGTAAACAAAGAAAAGGGGGTATCGTGGTTTCACAATTCTATCATATCCAGGAAACCTAAGAGGTTTAAGCCGATGGTTAAGTTTTCGACTCGTTAAACAGTAATTCATTACGCTAATTAGTATGAACAAGTCAGAAGGATTCCGACGTAGCACGAGAACGCGTAGAAACGGGCGTGCCATTATCACAACGTGTTGTCATCATCAAAAGCACGTTGTCGTAATCTCGCGA